ATGTTGGATTTCAAAATTTCCTCACAAGGAGTTTTTCTTTATTAATTTATGGTTTTTTTTATTATATATATTTAAGTATGAAAAGTAGCTTATATGAGATAAAAGTAAGAATACATATGTATATATTGCTGTCCTCTCATGTGAAACATATTTGACATATCTTCCCAATAGCAGAGATGAGCTTCACCTAATTTACTTGTTTGTTTGTTTTGTTTTTTTGTCACCTATATTTATCTCCAACATTGGTCTGTAAATTCCTTTAGGCTAAAGACTGCATCCCTTTCATTTTAGTATTTCCCAAAGAATGACACCTGACTTATAAGCTGAGCATAAATATCTCTTTGACAAACTAAACTAAATTAAATTGAAGGCCTATTGAAACACTCAGGTGTATATAGAAATGTACAAAATCTTGACCTAAGAAGATATAGTTTAAGTACAAGAAGAACCTCTGCTTTTGAAATGTGGTTATGAAAGAACAAAGCAAAATATTTCAGTGTTTGAGAACATTTTTATAAGAAGCAAATTAAATATATGTTTATATTAAAACATATACTGATAGTAAAGACATTGAGACTAAATTGTCACAATTTTGAGATGGAATTCAAGAATTAAAGCAATAATAATGGTAATAAGCAAATATAGATGAATTCTGTCATTAAAATCTACCATACTATTAGCAGAAGAGTCAATGTTTGGTGGACAAAGAAATGGGTGAATGAATGAAGTAAGTAATACTAGTAGGAGTAAAGATGAGACCACATTCCTTTTTCCTTGTCATTGTTTGTTTTGAGACACAGTCTTTATATGTAGTTCAGGCTGGCTTTGAACTCACTATGTAGCCCAGACTGGCCTTGAACTTGTGGCAATCCTCCTGCCTCAGCCTCCCAAGTACTGGGATTATAGGTGGGTACGACTACACCTGGCTTCAATTTTAATAATATAGAGCAAACCTTAAAAGTGAGTAAATTATGTATTAGAGAAATTACACAGCTTCTCTAAGACATAGAGCCAACAAACTTTTCGGTCTCATAGCCATATTTCCAGTGCATTAATTAGTATCTATTTTTAAATTCCTAATTATTTTATCAATAGTTACTTCCCTTTGACTATTTTATCTTCATGGATCTGAATAATATATCTGCATTACATCTACAATGATCCAAGTTATAGGGAAGCAATAATACCAAAGGTAATTGTACGTGTATGAGTTATAAACAAGTAATTAGACCGAACACAGGGCAATTCAGTACTGTAATATTCCTGCAAGTTTTCAGAGGACATTTTTAGGTATCTCATTATTTTTAAGCTGAAACTTGGAAACTCAGTTCAATAAACTGTGCACTAGTGGTATAGACAACTAAATTGGATACAAATTAATACAGGGTCAGAAAGTGATCGGACCCTGAAGAAAGTCAGCACAAGAAAAGAGACATTTGCCTAGAGGCAAATCTGAAGAGAACCAGTTCCTTCAGATGGAAAAAGCAATAGCCAGACCTTTAAGCTTCTCTGGTGATAAATAGCAAAGAGCAGTTCAAGATTACATTATAGGGGCCAGGAATTTAGCTCAGCAGGTCCACCACCTGCCTTGCAAGCAGAAGGTAATGAGTTTGATCCCTGACACCAAAAAAAAAAAAAAAAAAAAAAAAAAAAAAAAAAAGGAAAAAAAAAAAAAAAAAAAAAAAAAATTATGTTG